AGGTGCTAAAAGATTTGCTATATACAATGAACTATACATCATAAAAACAAATTATATTTAAAAGAGATTATACGGTTTATGCTAATATGGCCTGAACACACACACACACCTAAAAACACACTTTTGAAAGACAATAAAAATAATTTTGCACTGAAAGACTTGATAGCTAATGTCATTAGCTATCTTGCCCGAGAAATTTGAAAACATAATATGTTTTGTTAATACCCCTGAATTTATTCTGGCAGCATAAAAAAACAAAACACACACACACACACACACACACACACACACACACACACACACACACACACAGAGTGACTCAACAATGACTAGCTGATTTCCAATATTTCACATCGGTACAATTAATTTTTACATCAGTAGACACACTCTAATAGATACATGAACTTATTGTGGGATTCAGTCTTCTGTATCTGTACATGCACACATACATATTTCAAATGTTAGCCAAAGTTCAACATGCAAACACAATTAACACACACATACTGTACACCCTTCCTCCCCCAGGCCCCCTGTCGGTGCCGTTATGACTAATTGATGTACCAACATGTTGTTGTTGCAGGGCCAAGTCCATCAGGCTGGTGGTAATGACCACATACTGCAACAGACAGATTTAAATGGGATATCACACTGTCTACTGTATATACACACACACACACACACACACACACCCCATAACAAAAAGGTAGAAATGTAAAGTTGATTGCCTGTAGTGACATTGTTTGACATGCATTTAGTAGGAACTTGAATTTAGAAAAAAATTCTAGTTCTTGCAAATAATGCAGGGGTGGTTGAATCACTCTTGCAAGTGCAAGATCACAAGGATTAAAGAGGGCTGACACATATTCTTCTCTTTTCTGATGACGTTATTGTAAAGTTGCCTTTGTGAACAATATGCATGTAAGAAAACATCCTTTCACGGAGATGTGTTGGATTGCGTTTGATGGACCAGGTGCCTTCTGTGTGGACACTTGCAAAGCGAATTCATTTAATTCTCCCTCCTATCTTATCCTGCATGAATTCCTTCAGTCTTGTCTGTAATACTTCGCTTTCATTTCCCTTTATAGCTCCGGTTTCTTTTATCAATTTCTTTAAAAAGAAAAGCTTTGACAAGGAAGAAATGTTATTTTCTTATCATTCCTTTTGCACTCAGTCTCCTGGCTTGCTTGTATTCAATCTAAACTCTTATGAGAGTGCAATTGAAGTGCATGCTTCTCTCTGTGGATGTGTGTGTGCATATTTGTATGTAAGCATGTAGAGTGTGCACAAAAATATATTTGTGCCATTACACCAGTGTGAGCGCATGAGTGTCCATATGTGTGTGTCCGTTTATATGTGTGTGTGTCCGTTTATATGTGTGTGTGTGTGTGTGTGCACGCGTGCGTGTGCACGTGTATACAGCCAGGGGGTTTAGCGGCTTACTGGCCCCCTACAGGCTTTAGGCAGGAACAGGAATTAGGCAAACTGTGGGAATTCTTACTGGGATTAAAATCACCAGCTCTACGATAAAAAAAAATAAATCTGGTAAATCCGCCAAATTGTGCGTTGAGACATAGTGTGAGGGCAGTGTGTGTATAAGAAAGAAAGAATAACAATTACGTAATGATTCTGTTCCCTTAACTCATATCATGACATCACAGACAGGCTTAAAGCTTTGGAGTTGTGTATGTTTGTGTGTGAAAGTGTACGTGTCTGTATGAGTGAGCAAGGAAGCCTAGATCATACATACACTGTGAAAAAAAATATTAAAATCACTGCACTTCAGTAATCCTATCTAATAAAAACTTAAAGACTGCGAGCAGATATAGCCTCATATCTCACCGGAGTGCAAGGTCCCTGGAGAGTACTGCAAGTGTGTCTGACGTGTATATGCGTGTGTGAGCACACCTCCATTAAATGGGTCAACGTCATTATGAATGTAATAAAAGCCTATTTAAATGCACAATGTGGGGTTGTATGGTGATGATGCCAATTTAAAAAAAAAAGGGGGCAAAATGTGACAGGATTGTTTTTTAATCAATGGAAAATCTGTGTGTTTGTCCTCCTGTGGTTCAATACAAAGGGCCATGCATGGATAGGGTATACATAGGTATCCATGCATGGCCATTTGTGTTGAACCACAGGAGGACAAACACACGTTTGTTCCACTGTTGGTGTAGGGACATCATACTGACATAATACATTCCCCGCGACGCAATGTGAGCGTTCATGCGATTGTCCCATTCTCCATCACACAAATTGAAATTTTTCAATTATAGCAATAAAGTCGCGTCAGGCTGTGTTGCGATACCCGGATTGCCCGGATGTCACTGAAGGCTTCAGAGTGTCGGGGGACATTCTCTGTTAGCCGACAGACCGCTGATAAGTGACGGGGAGCTCGAGGAGAGAGCTGGTGGCATTTTAGCGTCAGTGGGCACCCAGAGCTCTGTGATACTACTTCATATTTATACATAAAACAGACAAAATTGGACAATTCTTGGATAAAAGTAAGAGAGGAAGTTGAGCTACCTGGTAAGTGTAAAATATGTGTCTGCTACTTGATTTCCGCTATCGTTGTACTTTAATGTGAACAAGTAAGCATAGCATAGGGCTGATCAATTCGAACTCCATTCAGAAAACAAGCATTTTTAAAGTTATTGTCTTGCTGTCAGACCTGACAAAGCAAGAATTCATAATAGGCATCATTTGGAAACCCAGCAAATTGTGGGTTCATACTGCTGTAAAAAACCAGGTTGTGTTTACTCGTGTAAACTCACATTTTACTCGTTTTATGGGAAAACCAGGCGAGTAGTCCAACAATCAAACTCGGGCAGGTCATGC